GAACGATGAGCTAGTAGTTTTACGTTTATATGTAGGCACTTGCCAAAGACATCGATTAGATGTTCGCAGAGATGTTCGAGTAGTAAGTGGACTTACTAAGGAAAAACGTGAAAGCGCACTCCGTCCTATCATCATAGGTATGAGCTCTTTTTAATAAAAAAGATTTTTATGAAAGAGAATGTTTAAATGATAGAAAATAGCTTTTATTTCCAATATCTCCTCTTGTAATTCCAATATCTATCTCTTGTATAAGGTAAATTTTAAATGATATTATTCTAAGGGTAAAATAGTTTTTATTTATTGAAATTCTCAAGATGAATAACTAAAGTATTTTTAAATTCCAATAACAACTAAATATGTCCTTAAACTTTATCAGCGTTAAATAATCATTTAATCTTGTTTTTATAATAATAAACTTTAGTATTATTTGGTCATCGTCTTGCTTGTTCTATTTTTTATTAATTAATGTGTGGTATCGAAAAGCCACATGTGTCTCTGAAACGGCGATGGTTAAAGAGTAAAAGTTCTAAAATTAGAATATGTATCATCCTACATAACTGATATTGATCACGATACGTGTCATCTGTGAATGTTGATGTACAAAAATACACTACGTTAAATAATAAAATGCGAAGGTGTTAAACTAAAAGCACATAAACGACTACGCATTTTAAAAAGAAAAATACCAGTCAATAATATAGAAGCGATAGGGTTTTTCACATAAAAAGCTTCGTTGTTGCTTTTCAATTTTTACTTACATTAGTAGATCTTAACAATACACATCACTATCATTACCACACAAACCACAACAACAGAAAGGATCAAACATGGTATTGAGAGAAAAATCATTTGTATGTGTTTTACTATTAGCAGTTATCACTATCGTCTCATCACAACACAGTAAGTAGACTTTTTCAGCGTACTTACAATTTTTTTGTTTCTTGGAAACAGTGAGAAAATAAAAAAACGAAACTTTAATAATAGAAAAAATTAGAAGAAAATACTACAAAATGTAAATGTTTATATAATTGTAGAACAACAATGCGAAGATTTTTCAGCTGATGGTGATTGTAGAAAATTTATTCGATGTTTTTCTAATTTACGAGTAAAATTCACATGTGGCATAGGAACAGCATGGGATAAAAATTTGAAAACATGTGTACACAGAGAATGGGTAGAATCTTGTAGCGCAAAGGCCAGAGCTGGTAAATATCAACGATTCGTTGTAACTTACTGAGCTATCTTCATTGTTTGGTAACGATGTCTCTTTGTAGTGGATGCTGAGTATGATGATAATAAAGATAGTGATAATATTTTGACTATTGAAGCTGATGAAGATGCATTATCAAATTTAACGCTGAGTCGCTCAATATCAGAAGCAAGCGAATCTGGTGTCATAGTTACCCCGAAACAATTTGCTTGCTCATCTTATTGTTTGTACGGAGGTTCGTGTAAAGTGGTAGTTAATGCTGTACAATGTCAATGTCCATCGAATATTCAATGTCAAGCAGGTATACGACGTTGCAAAGTAAAATATCGCTCCTGAGATCGAAATTCATTTACATCCCTTTTTTATATTCCGCAGTACCTTTTTCAACTGCAAATAATCTATACTCTCTTAAATCATTTATAAAGAATGTGCGAAAAAATCGAATTACCCAAGACAATTGCGATAGGACGGTATAAGTATAAATAGATATATATAGTTAGACATAGGAGCTAGAAACTTCTTTGACTTATCAATGTCCGCAATATATTCAGGTAGTTTATGTGACTTTTTAGTTGTCATAAAGCCATCACCCTGTGCGACAAGTCCTTGTTCCAATGGCGGCTTATGTCAAAATTCTGGTGCGAGTTTTGCTTGTCGTTGTCCGCTTGGTTTCATTGGCCTTACGTGTCAAGTGCGTATTGATCCCTGTGCCGCACAACCATGCAAAAATGGCGGCCAATGTATACCAACCGGGACTAGTAAGTTCTAAATGTGAAAAAGATTCCATCTATCAATGAAACTCTCAAGTAAAAACAGAGACTCTCACAGTCTAGTCCTCAATTTCAGCATGGGAAAATAGTTAAATTTCATAGCGAAAAATGAAATGTTTTCTTGAAATATGCAACAATAAATTCAGGAAAAATATACATATAGAATGAGACAACTATCGTCATTTTAGCCTTTGTATGTCAATGTCCAGAAGGCTATTACGGTGCTTGCTGTGAATTTCGTAATTATTGTCAACCCAATCCGTGTGCGAATGGTGGAATTTGTACTCAAACAAGTACCGGTTATATCTGTTCTTGTCCAGCACCATTCACCGGTAGTAATTGTCAATTAGGTAACTATAATTGATCTTCTCAAAATACAGTAATGGATAGCAATCAATCATATACGTTTACTAGTAATAACCACCACTGTGGCAGTAAGACCTGTCGTTTGTGTCATATTGCCTTGTCCAGCTCCTGTTATTGTGTATAATCCTTGTTTGCCAAACCCATGCCAAAACCGTGGCGGATGTGCTGTGCAAGCAAATACTGCCAAATGTTGGTGTCCTAATACTTACTATGGTTATTATTGTCAATATGGTAGGTATTGCTCAAGGATTTAATTTATCATAATAACAATGATTCTATTCTTTTTATCCATCAGCTCGTAGTCGATCATTAACTTCTACAACGTGTGACGCCACTTGTTTGAATGGAGGGCAATGCTATGTCGACATAAAGAAGGGTCCATCTTGTAGCTGTCCTAAGGAGTACTATGGCGAAAAATGTGAATTTGGTAACAATTTTATGCACGATTTTGAATCTAATAAATTTAGAATAATGATGATATTCTTTTAGTTAATGCTCCGAAATTTTGTACACCCAACCCGTGTATGAATGGTGGAAAATGTATTTCCACAAAAGATGGTTACAAATGTGCATGCGAAAACGGTTCAGGAGGAATCTTATGTGAACAAAGTAGGCTTCTATAACGATTGATCATGTTTACTACAATAATATTATTGATTTTTTCTATTTTAGTTCAAAGATCTGCCGACTACAAATACTGTCTATTAGACTGTCAAAATGGTGGCACATGTGTTTACATTGGTACAACACCATCATGTCGATGTCCAGAAGGAAGAAATGGCCGTTTATGTGAAAAACGTACGCAGTTTTTCTAGCAAAAGAAATTATTCATGTTTTAGATAGAAGCATTCATTCTTATAGGTTCAATAGCGAAAATTCTTTCATCACTCGAGTCTGATTTGGAAGACAGTCTAGATGTGCCTACAGAATCGGATTATTTAACAGAAGATTTCGTCTCGCAAAACAATTATTGAGTTCAAATTTCATACACGAATAAAAGAAAAATATACTGAGAAACTATAATTGGATGACAACTGCACGTAAACTGAGTATGAATTTTGGATTATTATACGAAATATCTCGTACATTACGTTTACGAGGTGGGAGTGATTATTTATTCTATTTTTCTCTGTAATTTTCATTTTTGTTTGTAAAAGTCAGGTATTCTATAATTATGTACAAGATAGAATGTGCTACATTTTTCTAATTTTTTAATATGGTGCAAATACTTACCAGTTAAGAGTTACTGGAGGTAGCTCTTCTAAACATTGTTGCATCATTTATATGTTTACATCTTTTCCTTTTGCATGGATATCGTTTTTTTGCTGAACCAATGGTACTAATAGCTTTTCTATTTTAATAAATTTGTTTTACAACTGCTTTTTTAGTTCAAATAACCATCTAAATTCGTTCACAAGTCATTAACTACCGGTTAACATAACAATTTTTTTCTACCGATTATCAAACAAATTCAAAATATTTTCTTCCATTAACCCTAACACGCTCTCTTAAATCATAGAGAAGCAACACTAAAAAAACAGTTTTAATAAGAAAATCTTTTAATCATCTGGCTAGGTTCCTTCGTTAATTGAGAGTAAAGTTATAGACAGACGATCTTGAGAACAGTGCATATAGTAATGTTTAATGGAAGTTTCAAAAGCTTTGACTTTTCTATCAATAAAAAGGAAGTCGAGTTTCAAGCAAAAGAGTATTCTTTTATTATTCTCAGTGCATCCTTTATTTGATTATACACAGTCTGGTGTTTTAGTTGGTTTGTGTATTATAACAAAGTAAAATAAATATAAGATAAGATAAGATTTATTTTTACTAAAGAGCAGGATATCACAATAAAAGAAACAAAATCTTGTGGCATCCGTGGATATCCTATGATAACCTAAAACTAAAAATTTAAAAATATAAATAAGTAAACAAAATAACATTATTAAAAGCCTGAGTAACCTCGCAGCATATTTTTGAATGTGGCTAAAGAAGTTTGAGAGGCTAAAACAGAAGGGCTAGATGCAGATTTTGACATTAAACGAGAACAAACACGCGACTATCATGGCCTAATCGAGAACTTTGACGCGTTGTGACTGTGAAATCAGATCAAAAGAGGAGAGAGGACTTTTATGATAGAAAATTTTATAGAAATAGAGAAGGCGATAATATAGACGTCTGTTTGAAGGTGGTTAAATTTTAAATTGTTTGAACAGAGAAGAAGAAGAACTACTAAAATCTTGTGAAATGACCCTACTAGCAAGACGCTGAACTTTATCCAAACTTTCAAGATGAGAAGTAAAAGTGGAATCGTAGATAACACAACCGTATTCAAGCGCGGTTCTTACACAAGTTTTATACAGATGACAACGAAGAAATGAGGACGAGTCACGAAAGACTCTTGAGATAGAGCCTAACACTTGACGAGATTTCATTGACACATATTCAATGTGAGCCTTCCACGTTAAATTATATGAAATAATCATGCCAAGAAGCTTAAAGAGACAAAACTCTTTCTATATCAACGTTGTTTATTGAAAGAGTGAGTAAAGGAAGCATTTTACTAGAGTTTGAAAATAAAATCCAGAGACATTTGTTTATGTTTAATTTGACCTCATTAGTATCACACCAGAGAACAAGCTCATTGATACATTTTCTGGCAGACTGCTGTCGTTTAGATTCAAAAAAGTTATCATAATTTAAAATGGTATTATGACAGAATATCGAATACAAGTTATTTATGGAAAGGTGAACATTTTTCCTAGCAGATTAAACAGGATTTAAGATTTCATTGACTAATATAATGTCCAACAATCACTCATAACTTCTCATATAGAAATTTAAGTCCTGATAGACCCATTGTCCCACGTCTTGAAGAAAGAGAAAATCTGCACAAGTCCTTTGAAGATTTTTTTTCTTGAAAATTCTTGATCAAGATTTATTGATACCACTGCACTTGATGTCCTTGGAAAAACTTGATCAAGATCTTGATCAAGATTTACTACGGTTTCAAGTCTGATGTATCTTGAGAATTCTGTATCAAGATCTTGTTGTTGTCTCTATCACCGTTTTTGTTT